AAATTTGCATATCCCGGCAGGTCGGTGACGCGCAGTTATTACCGCGGGGCCGCGGGGGCGCTGCTGGTCTATGACATCACCAGGTGGGTGCGTGATGTCATCAAAGGGGTCTGTGACATCATCAATGGGGTCTGTGACGTCATCAAAGGGGTGTGACGTCATTGGCTGGGTTCGTGATGTCATTGGTTGGGTTTGTGATGTCATCACTGGGGGGCGCTGCTGGTCTATGACATCACCAGGTGGGTCTGTGACGTCATCAACGGGATCTGTGACGTCATCATGGGGTCTGTGACGTCATCAAATGGGGTGTGATGTCATTGGGTGGGTTATGACGTCATTGGTTGGGTTTGTGATGTCATCATTGGGGCGCTGCTGGTCTATGACATCACCAGGTGGGTGCGTGACGTCATCAGTGGGGTCTGTGACGTCATCATGGGGTCTGTGACGTCATCATTGGGTCGGTGATGTCACCATTGGGGCGGTGATGTCATCACTGGGTGTGTGATGTCATCAGGGGGTCGATGACGTCATTGGTTGGGTTTGTGATGTCATCATTGGGGGGGCGCTGCTGGTCTATGACATCATCAGGTGGGTGCGTGACGTCATCAATGGGCTCTGTGACGTCATCAGTGAGTCTGTGGTGTCATTGGGTGGTCTGTGACGTCATTGGTTGGGTTTGTGATGTCGTCATTGGGCGTGGTGCTCGTCTATGACATCACCAGGTGGGTGCGTGATGTCACCAGTGGGGTCTGTGACGTCATCATGGGGTCTGTGATGTCATCATTGGGTCCGTGACGTCATCCTTGGGGCGTGACATCATCACAGGGTCGGTGATGTCATCAAGGGGGCGATGACATCATCCAGGGCCGTGACGTCATCATTTGGTCAGTGACGTCATAGTGTGAGGAAAGTGGTGATGTCACCGGATGCGTTTGTGACATCATCAATGGGTTGGTGATGTCATCAAAGGGGCGGTGACATCATCATCGGCCCGGTGATGTCATCATTGGGGCGGTGACGCCATCAAAGGAGGCGTTGACATCATTGGGTGTGGACTGTGATGTCATTGGTTGCGTTGGTGATGTCATCAGGGGTGTGGTGACGTCATTGGGTGTGGACTGTGACATCATCGGTTGGGTTTGTGATGTCATCATTGGGGGGGGCGCTGCTGGTCTATGACATCACCAGGTGGTGTGTGATGTCATCAGTGGGGTCTGTGACGTCATCATTTTGGGACGTGATGTCATCACTGGGTGTGTGATGTCACCGGGCAGGCCTGTGACGTCATCAATGTGTTGGTGACATCATCACTGGGGCGGTGACGTCATAATTGGCGCAGTGACGTCATCATGGGGCAGTGATGTCATTGGGTGGGTTACTGATGTCATTGGTTTCCTCTGTGATGTCATCAAGGGGGTTGTGAAGTCATCATTGGGTTGGTGATGTCATCATTAGGTCTGTGACGTCATTGATGCGGTGTGACGTCATCATTGGAGGGGTGATGTAATCACGGGGCGCTGACGTCATTGGGTTGGTTAGTGACGTCATCAAGGGGTCAGTGATGTCATCATGGGGTTCGTGACGTCATAATTGGAGGAGAGTGGTGAGATCACCGGTTGGGTCTGTGATGTCATCAAAGGGTTTGTGATGTCATCATTGGGGGCGCTGCTCGTCTATGACATCACCAGGTGGGTCCATGACGTCATCATCGGGGTCTGCGACGTCATCAAAGGGGCCCATGTCGTCATCGATGGGACTATGACGTCATCAATGGGTCTGTGACGTCATCAAAGGGTCTGTGATGTCATCAAATGGTGTGTGACGTCATTGGGTGTGGGGCTGTGACGTCATTGGTTGGGTTTGTGATGTCATTGTTTGGGTTTGTGATGTCATCATTGGAGGGCGCTGTTCATCTATGACATCACCAGGTGGGTGTGTGACGTCATCAAAGGGGTCTGTGACATCATCAAAGGGGTCTGTGACATCATCAAATGGGGTGTGATGTCATTGGGTGGGGTTATGACGTCATTGGTTGGGTTTGTGATGTCATCACTGGGGGCGCTGCTGGTCTATGACATCACCAGCTGGGTGCGTGACATCATCAATGGGATCTGTGACGTCATTGGTTGGGTTTGTGATGTCATCATTGGGGGCCGCTGCTCGCCTATGACATCACCAGATGGCTGTGTGACATCATCAATGGGGTCTGTGACGTCATCAAAGGGACCCTGTGACGTCATCAGTGAGTCTGTGATGTCATCAGCGGTGTGGTGACGTCATTGGGTGGGGCTGTGACGTCATTGGTTGGGTTTGTGATGTCATCATCGGGGGGCGCTGCTGGTCTATGACCCAGGTGGGTGTGTGACATCATCAATGGGATCTGTGATGTCATCATTGGGGCGGTGACGTCATCAAAGGGGGTGTGATGTCATTGGGTGGGGTTATGACGTCATTGGTTGGGTTTGTGATGTCATCATTGGGGGCCGCTGCTCGTCTATGACATCACCAGGTGGGTGTGTGACATCATCATGGGGTCTGTGATGTCATCAAAAGGCCTGTGACGTCATCAATGGGGTCTGCGACGTCATCAAAGGGGGTGTGATGTCATTGGTTGGGTTTGTGATGTCATCGTTGGGGGGCGCTGCTCGCCTATGACATCACCAGGGGGGGTGTGTGACGTCATCAAAGGGGCTGTGACATCATCATTTGGGCTCTGTGACGTCATCAATGGGGCATGTGACGTCATCATGGGGTCTGTGATGTCGTCAAAAGGGATGTGATGTCATTGGGTGGGGCTGTGACGTCATTGGTTGGGTTTGTGATGTCATCATTGGAGGGCGCTGCTCGTCTATGGCATCACCAGGTGGGTGCGTGACATCATCAAATGGGTCTGTGATGTCATCAATGGGGGTCTGTGACGTCATCAAAGGGATGGTGACATCATCACAGGGTCAGTGTTGTCATCAAGGGGGCAGTGACGTCATCGGGTGTGGAAAGTGACGTCATTGGGTGGTTTGTGACGTCATGAAGGGGATATATGACGTCATCCAGGGCAGTGACGTCATCATTTGGTCAGTGACGTCATCGCGTGAGGAAAGTGGTGATGTCACCGGATGCATTTGTGACATCATCAATGGGTTGGTGACATCATCAAATGGGCAGTGATGTCATCATTTGGTCGGTGATGTCATCATTGGGGTGGTGATGTCATCAACGGGGCATTGACATCATTGGCTGTGGACTGTGATGTCATTGTTTGGGTTTGTGATGTCATCAAGGGGTCGGTGACGTCCTCATTGGGTCGGTGACGTCATCGTGTAAGGAGAGTGGTGATGTCACCGGGTAGGTCTGTGACGTCATCAATGGGTTTATGACGTCATCTATGGGGTTTTGACGTCATTGTTGGGTTCGTGATGTCATCACGGGGCCTATGACATCATCGTGAGGTCTGTGACATCATCATTTGGGTGGTGACGTCATCATGTGAGGGGCATGTGATGTCACCGGGTGGGTCTGTGATGTCATCAATGGGTTTGTGATGTCATCACGGGGTCTATGACATCATCAATGGGTTTGTGATGTCATCAGGAGTGTGTGACGTCATCATTGGGTTGCTGACGTCATCATTTTCCCGATTTCTGCGGATTTCGCCCCAAAATCTCATCCATGACACCTCCAACACCCCAAATATGACATCATCACATCAATTATGACATCATATCGCAACTTAACGAATTTTTCTCTTTTTTTTTTGTATTTTTCTCATTTTTTCACCTTTTTTTTTGCTTTTTTTCCCCATTTTTTCCCATTTTTCCCAAAATTTTTGGGATTCCCATCGATCCCAAACCTTCAACACCCCAAATATGACATCATTGCATAAATTTATGTCAATTAATGCCATTTTTCCCGTTTTTTTTTCCTATTTTCATCATTTTTTCACCAATTTTCTCGCTTTTTTTTTTGTTTTTCCCCATTTTTTCCCAATTTCTGTGGATTTTACCCCAAAATCTTGACCCGGAGTCTTCCAACCCCTGAAATATGACATCATCATGGCAATTATGACATCATAGTGTTAAATAATGTCATTTTTCCTTTTTTTTTTGGTATTTTTCTCATTTTTTCACCATTTTTTCACCATTTTTTTACTTTTTTCCCCATTTTTTCCCATTTTTTTTATTTTGGGGGGTTTTAGCCCGGACCCAGTAACCAAGTATGACATCATCAAATTGATTTATGACGTCATAGTGTCCAATAATGCCTTTTTTTCTATTTTTTTTCATATTTTCGTCATTTTTTAACCGATTTTCTCCCTTTTTTTTTGTTTTTTCCCATTTTTTCCCAATTTCTCTGGATTTTACCCCAAAATCTTGACCCGGAGACTTCCAACCCCCCAAATATGACATCACCACATCAATTATGACGTCATAGTGTCCAATAATG